ATCACAAAAATCCAGCGAAGCTCCCTCCTAGATCTCCGCGCGGCCCTTGGCTACCTTGACTCGCTCTATAACCCTGAGGTCCGCCCAAACTTCCGCTCATACCGCAGGCTAGCAACCGGTCAATGTACATCTCCCTCCCTGACAAGTTGTCGCCGCGGAATTCCGGACGCCACGCAGGCCCCGCCGCCGCCCTCGCATCTCGACACGACGTGCGCTGACAGTTACGAACGCGCGTACGCAATTCGCTGGTTGACCGCGCTGGTATCGCGCGCGGACCAACTCGACGCTGATGATGTGAATGCCGAGGCGCTCGTCCAGGACGCGGCGGGCCTGCTCGCCCTCTGCGCAGGCACCGCATCCGCCGGGACCCGCTCCCGCCTGTTTGTCTTTGACCATGTCGGCGGCGTAGACGTCCGGGTCCAGCTGACGGACCTCCCGCTCAACAACCAAGACTACGCTTCGGTCGGCGCGCAGACATGGGGCGGTGCCTGCCTCATGGCGGACCTGCTCGTGCAGTCCCCGTCAGACTTCGGCATCAACATCGCCTCTGGAAGATCGCTCAGGGTCCTCGAACTTGGTGCCGGCACAGGTCTCGTGGGGCTGACAGTCGGAAAGATGCTCCAGGCACAGGGCGTGTCCGCCGAGATCGTCTGCACAGACTTCCACCCGGCGGTGCTCTCCAACCTGCGCAACAACGTCACGTCGAATTTCGTCGAAGGCGACTCCGCAGTCTCGATGTCCGTGCACGCCCTCGACTGGTCGACGTTCGCCGCCGCGTCCCCACCTCCTCTCCTCGCGCCGTTCGACCACCCGTTCGACGTCGTCCTCGGCGCCGACATCGTCTACGAGCTCGAGCACGCGCGCTGGATCCGGTCCTGCGTCGCAACGCTGCTCCGCATGACTCCCACAGAAACCACGGCGTCCCTCGCTTCCTCCGACCCACGCCTGCGCCCGCAGCTCCACCTCGTCATCCCGCTCCGGGCGACACACGCCGCCGAGTCGCACAGCGTCGAGGAGGTCTTCCCTCTCGCGTTCGATGTGCATGGCGGAACAGAGTCCTCGCCTGATGGCGGACCCTTCCGGAGCGCTCTGGGCATCGTCGCGAAAGAGACTCTGGCTTGCGAGGATTTCGCCCGGGGCGGTGGTGGCGAGGTCGAGTACGTGCACTACACGATTTCATGGATTTAATACGGGATCACGGGGGTTCGGGCTGCCGGTGGAGATAGAATAGACTAATGGGTATATATGCACACACATAAAGATAGACATCGTTTACTCGCGGGCATAGGGACATACAGATCACAGGCTGATGACTTGCACTTGGGCAGCACATAAGACGGGGATCACAAACCCGCCGCCTTGTTTTATTGTACATTATGATGCAGCAGTCAAACGATATTGCGAGCGAATACCCTGATGGAGAGCACAAACGAGCCACACGGAGCACAGGTAAATCTTCGCCGCGTCTGTGCAGCTTCTAGGCTATGTACTGAAGAGAGAGTTCAAGCAAACCAAAGATGCAAAGAAAGTGTGCGAAAAGAAAAGAAAAAGAAATAAAAGACCTTTGCCTCAAGGCGGGTGTAAGTTCGGCAAGACCTAAGATGTCGGACTGATTAGTTCAAATACCCTGGCTAAATAACAGAACGGAATCACCACAGCGATTCCTCTGGATGACGTGGGCGCGCGGTCGATCTGCGCCTGTTGGAGCTTATCCTGGCTGGAAGCGAGGACCTCACGAAGGAAAGCCTGCTTTTTCTTATCGTCCGCGCACTCCGCGAGGCGAATAATCTGCGGGCGCTTCAACTGGACGGTCTGTCCGTCGACAGAGTAAATTGAGGGAGCGCGGAGGATCTTCTCGGCTGTTATAAAGCCTTTCACGAGAGGAGAGCCGTACAGGATCTCGACCCTGCGGGGGTGGCAAATCCGAGGAAGGATCTTCCCGGACGATACAGCGTCGAGGAGCCATTCAAATACAGGGAGCCCGTAGACGTAGATGCGCACTTTTTCCTGTGGGCGCATATCGAGAGCGGCCTGCTCAATGGCCCGCCAGTCCATCGAAGAGACGTCGTCGATCTTGAGTTGGCGGAAGAACCTGAATGCCATGGATTTGATGGCAGCCGAAACACTGCTATCTGGGTGGCTCTGCACACTGATTTCAACTTCGTGACTAGTGACTTCGTCCGACTCTAGCATCTCGACGATTAAATCTAGGAATGTCCGTTTAAGACCAGTGGTTGTAGATGATAGCGTCATATCATTGGCTCACCGCATTCAGGGGGGTTTAAAAGTTTTTGTGGGCGTAAGCGAATCCTTTTGAGGATTGAAGGACCACAAATCGCGCGCGCTACTTCATGAAGAACATCCCACTGCGAAAAGGAACCCTGAAGCAACGGTTTATAAAATCCATGAGGAGCTTGGACATGAGTGATCCAGAAAACAAGGTCGAGGTCATCGTAGGAGGAGCCGCACTCCGTGACTTGAAGAAGATAAAGGAAATTTTGAGCCCGCCTGTGGCGATTGGTATACTGCGGCGGCATGTTCCTGTCGAACTTGAGCCTCGTGCAGTGCAGTTCATGCAGCTCAGGAATACTCTGGACGAGACGGAGAAGCTCCATGGTGCTGTGGAAGTGTAGATCGCAGAGCTTGAGCTTGATTATGGGGAACATGGAGCCCGGGAGCGACCTTGGGAGGCCTTCGCACCAAGATGTTGGAGCGTATGTATCGTTTGCAACACTATCTTGACGACGGTAGACGCCACTGAGATGCAGAGCTATCCCTCGCTCGTAAAGCACTTGGACCGCTTTTTTTCCGCGCTTGGCCATTCCAGCGTATACATGATGAAGCCAGGGTTCCAACCAGGGTCCGCTGTAGCTGATGTTGAGTTGTAGAAGGCAGTCTATCATCGTTGGCTTGACTTTCACTGGAGGATCAATGAACTCGAGGAACGTATCTAGATCCTCGCGCGTACGAAGCGTGAGATCTTGGAAGATATGAAACCGACAACGGCGTGCCCAGTGGCGGCATGTAAGACTGAACAGGCCGAGCTCTTGTTTGCATGCGCCAAGCCAATCTCCGTATAGGCCTAAGTTTTGCAACTTGTCGCAGCAGAACCATCGGACGACGTCGTCTATGAGCTCTGGCGGGAGATCCGCAGCAGTCGCAGGCGACATCTCTTAAGTTGTTTCGGTCGTTTTGTCTCCCTCTATAGCACCTTGCCCTAGCAGTATTTTGGATGATCTACAAGGGAAGCATGGTGAGAATTATCAGATCAGCGCCAGACAGCCTGAGTCCGAGTCGAAGTGACTTGCCGCGAAAAAGACAGTCGGAGCAGGCTGAAGGGTGTTTTGCAATATAAAATAGGTGTCTGGCTTGAAAACGTGCCACGACTGTACAGGTGGGATCATTGGGTAGCTCGAGTCTCGTCCTCGCCTTACGGCAACGTCCGAACTTCGAAGGCACAAGATTCAATATCTATCATCCAGAAAGTCATCTCATCTTATCTCGTTTTAGCGCCGAATCTAATCTCCCGACGGATGCTGAAGCTGAAGACACGCCCGCGCCCGAAGCTGAGGTTGGTATCGGAAAAATAAACAAAATAGACGATATCGTAGAGAGTGAAGCTGTACGCGCATATTAGCAGACATACGCGCACATATATGTACGTATTTACACAGCAGTCACAGGCGACACTGCGGACGAACTGCGACAGCCTTGGGATCGCGCTCGAATATCGTGGGATATCATAGGCGGCTATCAATGCAATGAGTAATGCCCAACATTATCACTTGCGACAGCGGAGGAAGTGCCCTGACGCGGAATACAAACGACTCACAAAAGCACGAACAAATCTACACACTATCTACGCAAGATGAAGACCTCGTACTGAAGAGAGCGCTCAAGCAAACCAAAGATGCAAAGAAAGCGTGCCAACAAGAAAAAGAAAAAGGAATAAAAGGGCTCTGCCCCACGACAGGCGTAAACTCGGCAAGATCTAACATGTCGAGCTGGTTAGTTCAAATTCTCTGATTGGCTAACGGAACGGAATTACCACAGCGGTTCCTTTAGATGACGTGGGCGCGCCGTCGATCTGCGGCTGTTGGAGCTTATCCTGGCTGGAAGCGAGAACCTCGCGAAGGAAAGCCTGCTTTTTCACATCGCTAGTGCACCCTGCGAGGTGGATGATCTGCGGGCGTTTCAATTGGACGGTCTGTCCGTCGACGGTGTAGGTCGAGGGAGCGTGGAGAATCTTCTCGGCTGTTATAGCGTCCTTCCTAGGAGGCGCTTTCGCGAAAGGAGGGTAGCCATGCACAATCTCGACATCCCGTGGGTGACGGAGCTGGGGAAGGACCCTCCCGGCTGGCATGGCGTCGAGAAACCATTCGAACACTGGAAGTGCGAGCGCGTAGATACACAGTTTCTCTGAGGGGTGCATGTCGAGAGCGGCCTGCTCAATAGCCCGCCAGTCCATCGAGGCGACATCATCGGCCTTGGCCCTGCGGTGGAACTCTAACGTTAAGGTCTTGATGGCGACTGTGGAGTTGCTGTCTGGGGGGAGTTGCACTTGAACACATAACTCATGGCTGACGGCCGCCTGCGAGTCCAGCATGTGGACATAAAGATCTGGGGGCGTAAGTTGCGAGACGAGTGAGGGGACTGTAACTGTACAAACTTACCGCATCCGGGTGGGTCCATGTGCATCTGCGGGACTAAGCTGATCCGCTTGAAGGTAGAACTGCCACAGATTGAACGCGCAGCTTCGTGCAGGGCGTTCCAGTGTGAGAAGTGATCCCGTATTACAGGCTTGAATCGCCCGTGGGGGGTCTGGATACGAAAAATCCAAACAGCAAGGTTGAGGTCATCGCTGGAAGAGCCGCATTCTGTAACCTGGACCTGATGAAGGCAGTTTCGAGCCCGTCTGTGGCGATCTGTGAACAGCGGGGGCATGTCCTTGTCGAACCTGAGTTTCGTGCAGCTCAACTCTCCCAGAGATGGGATGCCTTGGATGAAGCGCAAGAGCCCCGCGGTGCTGTGGAAACGAAGGTCGCAGAGGACGAGCGTTTCCATGTGGAACATGGTTCCGGGAAGCGACTTTGGGAGGCCCTCGCACCAGGTGGTGGGTGCATATTTGTCGTCCAAAGTGCTGTCTTCACGGCGGTACACACCGCTAAGACGCAGAGTTATCCCGCCGCTGTCAAGTACCTGTAGTGCATCGACTCCGCACTTAGAAGCCATTCCGGCATATACTCGATGGATCCAGAGCTCTACCCAAGGACCGCGGTAATCAAGGATAAGATTACTGAGGCTGTTGATGATGGTTGGCTCAACCTTCACTGGAGAGTCGATGAGCTCCATGAATGTGTCCAGATCTTGGCTTGTGCGGAGCGTGAGCTCGCCGAAGATATGGCGCCGAATTAGATAGGCCCAATGCCGGCAAGTGAGGCTGAGTAGGCCGAGCTCATGTTTGCTTGCATTCACGGGGTCTTCAAATTCGGACACGTAGAGGCTGCAGAACCATCGGACGATCCTGTCTATGAGTTCCGGCGGGAGGTCTGCAGCAGTCGCAGGCGACATTTCTTAGGCTCCTTCAGTCCTATCGCCGCTCTTTGCGGCACTTCGTTGTTGTAACAAATTTGATTGATCTACAAGCAGAACATGATGAGCATCATCAGACCTATGTAAGACTAGCTGAAGTGACCTGCTGCTGATCGAGAAGGAGGCAAGTTGGGCGAAACTTGAAGCTGCAGTATCAGATAGGTACTCAGCTTAAAGGTGGTGCACTCACGGCCACGCAAGCGAGATGGCTAGTACACAGCGCGAGCATTGCCACCGGCCCAGTGCGGATGGCGATGTCGGCTCTGGCCATCTGCGTCTTTCATCTCATCCGATTATCTTGCTTCGACTAGCGCTCAACCTAATCTTGCGACCAGGTCACCATACAAGCAAAGGAAGAGCATGCATGACAATGTACAGCAACATGCGTGATAACTGATAAATACCAGCGTGTAAAAGAGATATCGGGGGAGAAATGAAACGATGTCAGATATTTTGATACTAGTAGCATGGCCGGACGACACATCTTACCCAAAGCCGAGGATATTCAGCCGTTGTTCACTCGTGGAGCAGACAAGCGGCGACACTTTAGCACATCGTCGAAAAGGAGCTGTCGCATATGTATCTTCCAGGTACGGTAGTCAACCATCATTTAAGTACCGAGCTCGCGTTGTTCAACGGAATGGCAGCTCGTTTATTGTTACGGCTGCGCGCGGCTTAGTGCTATGAAAGGATCGGCTTTGAGTGAATTTGAAGACTTGCACTGCATTGCGCGGTCTGGTGAATACACTCCTAGCCCTGGCGCTGACGCTTTGCTTCGCCAGTGCTGAAGGTGACGAACGAGAAGAACGTATACCGCCTTGCGAACACATCGCATATCGATGATGAGAATGCCGGCGCACTGCGTCACCCAGCCACAGCCACTCCGGCCATACTTGGTCAAGAAATGATACATATCTGAATGCGACGCTCTGACGTAAGAAAAAAAGAACCTGTAGATCCAAGAAGAATTACCTTATAGACTTCCAGGATCAATCCGCCCGAAAGAAGACGTACGATACCAAGAAGCCTGCGCTGCATTCGTAAGGTATGCGTACACATTGGTGAGGAATGGGACTGCATGTAGCCAGTAATATGTACTCTTGACCAATAATTGTTTGCACATAGCGATATAAGCAGGGATAATGAAGGAGCCAGACATGAGGAAAATCGGTGATGGTACACGAGCAAGGGTCCAGAGAAAGATGGTATTAGTACAGGTGCTGTGGATAAGGAGAGAGCATAGAGGAAGAAGCTTCATATCACGGAGAAGCCGCCGAAGTCTAGGAAGCCTTCGTCAATAGACATCTTGCGTACGACAAGAGCCTCGACGATGAGCCGAGGTTCCTTAGCGCCGAGGGGAGGAGCGTCTGCAACGATGTCCACGAGCGTCGCTTCGGTGAGAGCGGGAGAGGGGGATCCACCCAAGATTACTGTGTCGGAGAGGGCTGGCGTTGCAGGAATGAACTCCGGCGTCGGTGCTTCATCCACGACGACCTCGGCGGACTCGACTATAACATGAAGATTCCCCAAACCTGCAGTCAAGTTCGCAGCCTCGTCTGCAAGCTTGAAGACATCAACGTTGACATGATGCACAGGAAGAAGAGTCTCGTCTTGTCCGACATCTGCCCCGTCCAGCACAACTTTGGATTCGGCACGGGTCAGCAGGGCCTTATGCTTCTCCTCTCGACGCCTATCCCGCGCCTGGCGCCGTAGCAGGGCCTTGGCGTCCTGCTTGATGGGAACGTGCGTTGTTTCGGCGGAACCTGGAGCCGGATGCGTCTGTAGTTTCCAACCCGGCCTCTTCTCTTTCAAGTCCTTGCGCCCATGCTTACCACCGAACACACCAGCATCAGGAGGATGGG